CACACACACACACACACACACACACACACACACACACACACACACACCTGTGTATGTCTCGAACCCCCCACCCTTCCTCCTGCTGACCAGGAAATGCCCGACTTGTACAATAGAGAGCAGGTCTGACGCCACCGAGTGCTTTCTTTAGACACACAGTGTGAGAGTGTGTGTGTGTGTGTGTGTGTTGACATCAAACAAAGACATTCATAGTATTGAGGAAAGAGGCTGCCATAAATCTGAAATGAACACAATGAGCTGAGATAGTGTGTGTGTTTGTACGCATGTTCACTAAAGGTCCATAGTCTGTGCAGCCACGGCCCTCGACAAACATGAAGACACCGTCACATTCATCCTCATCCGTTCACTTTAAACTCGATGAATGAATGAATGAAAGACAAGAGAGAGCAAGTATAGTCTCCTCAATGTTGGGATGATGTTTTGCTTTTGGACTTCTCTCTCCCGTGAAGTCTCCAAACAATAGCTGGTTTCCTGACAGTGTGGACCGGTGTGTGTGTGAGTGAGCTTGTGTGTTAGCGGTGACTGGTTCTGTCTGCCTCCCAGACAAGAGGAGCACGCTTTGTACATGTTTACTGCTTTCCAACCACAGAATGCGACAAGTTAGATGTTTCAATTAAATGGGATGGGAGTAAATAGATAACGACCACCTAAAGACGAGTTATGTAGAAGTTCAACACTTGTTGTCCACTACAAAAACCTTTAAGTGTAAAATATTTATATATTATATATTTTTTAGAGGAAGAGGAGGTTAAGACAGATTTGGGAAGTTTGACACGAAAAAGTTCAAGAAAGCTGCTCTCTTTTATGACATCACTGTACACAGATATGTGTGTGTGTGTGTGTGTGTGTGTGTGTGTGTGTGTGTGTGTGTGTGCGCTCGACAGCTGGCTAAATAGGATCTTAACCCACTTAAGAGTGTGCATGCATGAGTGTGTGTGTGTGTGTGTGTGTGTCTTCCCCCGAGTATAGACTGATGACTCAGCAGGGTGTGTGTGTGGGCTGTAACAAGCTTGTGGCAGGTCACTCCCTTCACAACGACTCAGAACAAACTGAATGTCTGAGATGTGAGAATATTTTCCCCCCAGAGCTGAAATTAAAAATCATAATGCTTTTAAATACAACATATAAGGCAATGGCCTTAAAATCAAAAGCAGTCAGCGCTAACCACAAACTCTCCATCTACACCGTCATATCTCTGCTGCTGTACCCTAAAGACAGGAAGTCAGAAAAGTGACGCCGATGCTGAAGTGCAACAATTCTTCTCTCTGATGGCCAGCAGGGGGCGACTGCTCTGGTGGCAAAAGGAAGTCAGATCGTATAGAAGTCTATGGGGAAACATGATGCGACTGTTTAGTAAAAATGAGCATCGGGCCAAGGTAAATTATAACAGAATGTGTTTAAATGTAATAAATTGTAAAATGTAGTTTTTGGTGAGAGACTTCCATAAATGAGAAGCTGCCAACCAATCAGAAACTAGCATTTCCCACGACTATCGAGTAGAAAACCACACACATAAAGGCCCCCTGTCATTAATGGCGAAATGTGAAGAAACTAACCAGCACACAGGGTGGAGCGCGCGCTCTCACTCACACACACACACACACACACCAACAGGCGTTCTCCTTTCTGACTACAGTTGACCGATTAGATTAGCCGACGTGACAAAAAGCACACCCGACACAGATAAGGCGGTGACACATTCGGCTATTTGTGAAGCAGCGACGGGCAGAAAACTACTCACACAGTTCAAATTCACGACAACATCTCATTAAAATAAATAAAAGCTTCTGACAGTATTTGGATGAAGCGACAACAGTCCAAAACCACAATTGAAATAGTGACGGTGGAACAAATCACGATTCATACGTCTCTCTACACCAATCCTGTATTGTGGTTTTAAATAGACGCCTGTAAATAAATGCTGATAACCCAGAGCAGCCATTTATGTTTTGGGTGACTGCTCTTGTGATGATGTAACTTATATTTGATACCGATATGACCTGGCAGAGATGCAGAAGAATCAGGCATGCGCACACAGTGACAGAGAGATGTGTGTGACTATGTATAGTTTATAATAAGTACAGTAAGAGTGAGTGATTACTGAGCTACGTCTATCTGAACCTATTGATTATTAATTGAATTTAGAGGATCACGTCATAGACGGACTGGGGCGTTTCCCGTCTTTTTAGGTGAATCTCTGTAACCTGAGGGAGTTGGCTGACTCCTGGAGGAATGCTGCAGCCGGCCTCGACCTGCACACTGCAGGAGAACACACACACTAAAACACACACACCTGCAACTCTCACTGCCAACCTGTTTATCCGTTTGAAGAGTCTTGATCTTGGGAAAGTTACTACTGAGTAACGTAATAGATAAAGGCTCCTCCCCTTCTGGTGGGACCTTATTTCAGGAGACAAATTACTTTTTGATCCCCTTAGAATTGTGCCATGAGTTACACACGTTTGTCAATTTAAAATATAATTTAGCACGGAAAGAAAATTGCAGTTTGTCGAAGGTCTGTCGTAGTAACATGTAGTTTTGTGTAAAAACGTTTTTTATCAGCTGGGAAGCAAAAGAAGACAACGAAGGATAAATGAACACACGTATATACCGGCGGGTCCGTCCTCTCTCTCCATAGGTGCTTCAGCCTTCCCTTCATCCAGAGCCATTCCTCCACCTTGAGCAGACATGTTTACTCGTGCTGATATTCTGTATTAAAGCAACCAGACGCAACCAAAGATAAAGGAGCCAGCTGCCTTTTCATAGTTCAAAGCTACTATTTAAGTCAAGAAAAGATATTTATTGTTTCCTATCAATCTGACAAACAAAAGGAAAAGGCAGAGCGATTATTAGTCTTTATCTCTGTAGAACATTTGCTTAACATAACAGGAATTACAGAAGTCTTTTGGGATAAGAGAATAAAAACAGCACCAGAGAGGAAACAGTTGCATCCTTCATCACCCGATATATTTTCGTATCAAAATAATCTCTTTTAAACTTCACCCTGGGACAAATATAGCCAACGGTGAAGCTGACAGCTCCAAACATAGACGGTGGTATTATTTTAAGTGTGTGACTGAGCACTGGAAATACTGAGGCCGAGTCTGACAGAAACAGGAAGCTGGAGGAGATGAAACGTAACACGGCGTCACGGTGCGTGTCGGCACAGAAAATAATATCCTCGCCGAACGGACACACTCGAGAGGAGAATGTGGCAGCTAGAGGTGTCACACAAAGGTGTCAAGTGGAATGACAGACGGATCTTAAAAAAACAACACTTCTCTGGGCTCGCTCTCTGGGATCTATGTCTTTCCGTCTTATCTTACAGTAATAGCTCAGTTCCTCTGGTGCATTTCCCTGTTCATTCACTACCTATTTCCACTTCAGACAATCGGTTCAGAGACAGCTGGTTTACTCTGAGACGTCACGAAAAAGATGCCGAAACGAATCTCTTTTTATTTAAAGTGACATTTTTAAATGACACGCAGTATACAAAGCCAGACTGCCTCCTCTCTGTATATATGGAACAACAAGTCGTCCGCTCTCCTGTTCCTGGCTGCAGCTCTTGTCTAGTTGTCGTCATCATTTTTATTATCATAATGAACATGTATTTTTCCATCACACATTCAAATACTTTGGAATTTACCAGCCATGTAGGAGAGTTTTTTTGTGTGTTAAACTTACTTTGTTATATAGAAATATAGATATATAGATATATATAGAAATAGATAGAAATATATATATATAGATATATAGAAATATAGATAGAAA